AGTCCAAAGTCCGCTCTTTGCAGATTGGTGATCTCTCAACTGCATCCGAGTTCGTTGAGAAGCTTGTACAAATCACCGGTTTCACAAAACTCAACACTATCTATAGCGGGCATAGGATTGATCTTCTTGAAAAGCCTACTCTCACCGTACGGGACCTCAAACTGAACTCAGGACTGCTAATCGTTCGCCGAGACCCTGACAGCCGTGAACTTACACTGACAGGGCGGCGTCAATCTCTGACATCGGTGGATTCCGAAGTACTTAAGCATTTTGATGATCTTTATGATCTTTTAGGTCTCGAGGATAACTTAGCTCGAGAGATTTACGACTTCCTTGTTGTTTTCCCTCCCCAGGACAGAGTCCTGCAGTTAGTCAGGTCTACCGACAAGTCTGAGCAAGACATATTCCCTATGGGTAAACCGTATAACTTCCTCTACTCAGTAAATGCGCTTTCTATCTGCCTGAGAGAGGAAGCCCTGGAGTCGTCCCCAAATCAAACATTTGTGTCTCATAGTGTCCGAGTTTTAGTTGCTGCGTTAACACGCTCCGAAATGTCTGATTCATTGGATAATTGTCCAATGAAGCTCCTTTTTGCCACTAGTCTGGTTGAATGTCTCCTTTACGCCCTTCTTGTGAGGCCCCCCCTAGCTGGCGATGCAGCATTGATTCCAGATTCGACTGCTTTGATCCGGCAGTTGCTGCATCTAATGGACGTTGGGCGGCATTCGTCGACGGGTTATCTTTCGGAACCTGCTATACATAAGCTAATCTGCAACTCCTTTGCTATCATGATCGAAGGCTCTGTTCGCGACCCCGAGTTTTGGGCTGTGATAAAGCAGCAAGCAAAATTCGACCAGCTTCTGTTCTCGCTACTGTTGGATGAGAACCGTCAGCCTATTCGCAAGGGCATTTCGGAGAACATAGCCGTTGCCTGCAGCCCATCCAAGTTGCTCAAGAAAACGGGGAAACCAGAGGCCCCAGAACAACGAGAGGGCACGACTTCCGAGAATCCAGTCAGGATCGATATTCTTGCTACAATCTGGGAAGCCTTTGTGCAGAACTTCCCCCGGACACTGGGCTGTGTCCAGCAGTCCCAAGAGTTTTTCGAAATCGCTCACGTAGTATTCCAATCGGTTGCGGAAAAGTCACCACGCGATCTCATGTTGAGCGAATACCTCAAGCAATGGAGCGCCATTTTGTTGAATCACCAGACCGAAGAGTTTGTCGGACGAGAGCCTGTCGACCATTTACTTCTGGGCTTTTGCCGTCTACTGAGATCGTGCTTAGAATTTGCAGGATCAACTAATACCACAGTAGACACGTTTGATCTCGCTGAGAGCTTGTTTGACAAATACCTCTTCCCGGATCTTTCGGAGTCAACATCCCTTGTTGCCATCACCCCTCAGACGCCCGTCATGCACGCATCGTCCCGGCAGGAACTTTATGGTATTTTGAACTTGCTCTGCAAATACGATGAAAACTACGCTAAAGTCGTGGTGCGGTTGAGTGATCTCATTCCTGAAGACTACACATATTCACCGACCTGGTGTTTTGATCGCTACAAGATGATCAGATCGCCAGAAGGCTATGCTGGGCTGAAGAATCTATCCAACACTTGTTACTTGAACTCGCTTTTAACCCAACTTTTCATGAATGTTAGCTTCCGCGACTTTATGATGCAGCTTGACCTCATGGATCCTCTTGACTCTCAGATATTACTTGAGGAGACAAAGAAAGTTTTTGGTTATATGCAAGAAACGTGGCTTAAGAGTGTCGATCCGCAAGGGCTAGTGGATTCAATAAGGACCTACGATAATGAACCAGTTGACGTCACGGTGCAAATGGATGTTGACGAGTTCTATAACCTGCTTTTCGACAGGTGGGAGGCTCAAATCTCTAATGCAGAAGACAAGAAGAAGTTTCGCTCCTTCTACGGTGGTCAGCTAGTGCAGCAGATCAAGTCCAAAGAGTGTCCCCATATCTCGGAACGCCTTGAGCCCTTTTCCGCGATTCAGTGCGATATCAAGGGTAAAGCGAGTCTGGAGGAGAGTCTCCAGGCGTATGTCGAAGGAGAAATTATGCAAGGAGATAATAAATACTCCTGCACTTCCTGTGGAAGACATGTAGATGCTGTGAAGAGGGCCTGTTTGAAAGATGTCCCGGATAATCTCATATTCCACCTCAAACGCTTCGATTTTGACATGGTCACGATGATGCGGAGCAAGATAAATGACGAGTTTCAGTTTCCAGAGCACATTGATATGAGCCCGTTCAAGGTCGAGTATCTCTCAGATCCAGACGCAGAGGTTCAAGAAGACCTTTTTGAATTGGTCGGTGTTTTGGTGCATAGTGGTACAGCTGAATCTGGCCACTACTATTCGTACATTCGTGAAAGGCCTACTGCTGATACTAGAGGCTCGTGGGTTGAGTTCAACGATTCAGATGTCACCCGGTTTGAACCGTCCAAGATTGCAGACCAGTGCTTTGGTGGCTACAATGACTCTATGAACAACACTTCCATGGGCCAAGTCCGGTTCAACAAAGTGTGGAATGCTTACATGCTATTTTATCAACGTGTCTCGAGCATGGAGTCATCCAAGTCACTTTATAAACCAACTACCAACCATTGTCCGGTTCGTGTGCAGCTACCAGTGCCTCTTGCCAACCATATTGTGATGGAAAACGAAATTTTCATACGGGCCTTTTGTTTGATGGATCCATACTACGCCATGTTTGTGCGACACCTTCTCTGTCAGCTTCATGATATGAGGGATTTTCACCCTGTGGGTGACTTTAAGTTGGACAAATGTATTATCTTCATCGCTTTGGATACGCTTGAGCAACTTATCTCAAGGAACAGAGAGCCACTGGGACTGGATGTGGTTGTGTCTGAGCTACTTAGGGCAGTCAATGAACTTCCCAAGGCGGCCTACAGAGTTTTACAGTGGGTCGCAGAAAGACCAGCCGGCATACGCAATCTAGTGCTGAAGTGTCCCCATGCAGCTGTTCGAAACAATTCAATCAGGGTCTTCATAAGCGCACTTTCAAAGCTCCAGGAGCTGTGTAACCATGTTGGGCAGGAAGAGAGCTATAGAGACAAATGGCATAAGCGGTACTTAGACGGCTTTGAGAATATGATCGCAGCATTACATGGCCTCTGGATGATGCTGCATACTGTAAGCAGGGCGTGGGATGATTATTTTGAATTCCTCTTACTGCTTGCAAGTTTTGGATCTCTTGAGGCCGGGATGGTGCTCAGTTACGGATTCCTTTCAAAATGCCTGGAAATCGTGTGGCTTGATCGTGATGATTCAAAGAGGCTGAGACGCCATTACATTACTTACTGCAAACTCCTTGAGAAGGGAAGAAGATTCTCACACAGGAAGCTCACTGATCTCCTGTCTGTCTTACTACAGAATATCGATCTTTCTGCGCCCCCTACGCCGGGTGATGAAAGACAGACCTTACCCGACAATAGGTATTCTCTTACAGTTGCGGAAAACGACCTTCTTCGGCCTGTTGGGAGAAACAATGAACTATTAGTTCTGAAAAAGCTTCTCCAGCAATACAGCAGCCCGCAAGCTTGTAGAAGCATTGTTGGAATACTTGTTGATGCGGAGTCCGAAGCTGGCCTCGCAGACCCAATTTGCAAGGCGCTGGAAGATGGCTTAAGAGTCGCGCCTGCCGAACTTTGTGCTCCGTTCTTGGAGGCTACATTGATATTCTGTCGGCGGAGTACTGATGAGGAAAGAATCGTTTCTTTGATCGACTACGTTGCGAAAGGAGTAGAGTCTATCAATGATAGTGGAGGTAAAGAACATCTTGCATTCTTTACTAACATTATGGCGTGCCGCAACGAGCGACTTAATTTCAATGAGGCATGGTTTCTATCCCAGCTCATAGATAAAATCCCAGACTGGGCTCCGACATTGCTCATGTTCCCTGACAGGACAGTCAGGAATATGACAATGGAATTCTTGCGCCGGATATTATTCACAGGAGAGGCTAGCGACATCGGCGACGATTGGCAATCGCGCCATACCCAAGCGGCCAAGGAGCTGGTTCACGCAAGTATCAGCAGGTTGAGAAGGACATACCTCTCAGCCCCTGGGAGCAACGTCGAAGCGAACGTTGTAGAGACAATTAAGACGGTCGTTGAACACTGCTTAGTTACATATTTTGATGACGAACAAGACGAGGAATTTGTCCGCCAGGCGCAAGGTATATTATAATCCTACTCAACTATAGCCTAGTCTTTCACTCTTACTAATGGCGAATATAGCCGTCCTCGGAGCTATTGAGGAATTAGCTGTCGATATGCCGGAAGAGCTGGCTTCCGGTAAGTACCCCTTTTTATTACATCCTTGTCAACGTCTAACCCCTGGGGCTTCAGAATCTGATGTACCTTCTCCAGAGGAATGGGAAGACCACTCAGCGATGGCAAGTGATTCGGAAATGGGGGTTGCAGGCACTCCATGAGGCCCTGTGTGCAATATATCCCTGAAATTCACCCATTGTATCATGACGAAAGATGAATCGATGAAAGGTGCTTAGGGGGGAGAGCGGAGGTATCTCCTTTCGCTTTTGCTCTTTACCTTCGCTGTGTTTGAAACTGCATTGATCGGCGTTTTGTTTGCCCATCCACACTAGAAATGGGTTCTCTGATTCTGAACTCTGTACAGGGAAATGATCCTTTCTCTTATGTTGTTCTCATTTCTCATATTTAATTTCTTCGGCCATGTGTTAAATAAAGAAAGGGTAATGGTGGTGTTGTTCTGCAAGGGCTTGCATTGCTTTCGTTGGAGGGCCTTCACGGTTTGTTTCTACGTTGTCCCTTTCATGAACTAGGGAACGATATTGCTTGATTGAATGACTGACGGCTGCAAATGAGAGTTTTTAAGGCAGTGGTTCCTGGATAGTCCTCAGATCTATGGAACAATTAGAAGGCCTATCTTAGAAAGAAAGCAGGACTTTCACTTGAATGGATTGGTCTCTTCGGAGAATCATACATTGTGGATTTGGTTTCGATTGTTTTTATTTAGACTCCTTATAATACAAAGATGTCTTGACTGCTATTCGAGCCAACAAGAACGTTTGGAGAAAGACAAGGCAGAGCCAGTATAAGTCTACACAAATGTGAGAAATTTGAGAAAGAGAAAGAAGCGAAGGCTCAGTCTATTCATGTTCTTCCTTTTAGACCTTCGTTAAGTTAATATCATACATATACTCCTCTTTTTTCGTCATTGTGCCGTTACCCCCCGGCAGAAATTCTTCTTCCGGGCGCCTGCGCCGAAGGGGGCTGAAGTCGACTGCATGGTAGAGTTTCACCTTCATCAAGGCATATTTTGAGTCAAGCTGCCTCAAACATCTTCAAATTCCTCGTCGTCATCTTCATCAGACTCCTCTTTCTTGACCTCCGGTTCGACTTTCACCCTCTTCGCTGCTGGGCCTTCATCAGTAGCAGACGGTGTTGCTGAAGCTGTTTGAGGAGCACTGGTTCCAGAATCTGTATCGAACTCGCGCTTTATTCCCGTGGACGTTGTGTTCGTAGGTGCACTGGTAGGACCAGCGCTAGTCCCGCCAATGGCCGGTGACGCAGTGTCGCTCGCAGAAACACCACCAACATCTTCGAATTCTTCGTCGAACTCGTCGGAGTCGTCTTCTGCACTGCTGGAATCTTCCTGGGCCTGAAGAGCCTTTTCCCTTTCCATTTCGGCATAGTAGGCGGCGACTTTGTCGTCGAGGGCATCGAGCTCCGGCTTTCGGTCTTCTTCCTCTTTGATCTCGGACTTCAAGTCGACGTCCGTCTCCGTCTTCACCGTATTAAGATTTCCTGCGCTTGTAGACACAGTCGAATGTGTATGCCACACTGGGAGCGCATTCTGCTTCTCTACGGCGGCCTTGCGTGCGGCCTCTTCCGCTTGCTCGGCAGCGCTCTTTTCTTCGCTGGATGTGAGCGAGATCTCAAGGGCCCCGGCATCGGTCTTAGTGTTACCGCGAACAGCTTCCTGTTTCTTGGATGGCACAACAACTGCAGCTCGTGTCGGGTGAGTAGCCTGGTTTCGCACAACATCGATCTTATGATCCCAAGCGGTATCGAAGTCGTTTGGTGGGATTTCAACAGAATCGATTTGTTTGAGCAGCTTCAACATAGTGTCCAGTTGAGCCATAAGCTTGCTGTTCTTCTCATGGCCTGTACGGTCAATCCCTTCCGCCCCCTTTACATCTTCTGTCCGCTCGAGAATAGCCCCGCAGTTTTGGCATTCGAACCCTTCCTCAGAGTACAAGCTCAGCACATCAAGTTCCGTCCATTCTGCCCCGCATCTTAAACATATATACTCCTTCCGTTCCTCGCTCGGCGTATACTGGGCCTTGATCGTTGATGTTAACTTTGAGATCTTGAACTTAATAGCGTCGATGACCGGGTGTAGCGGAATGTAATAGTATTCACGATTAACGGGGCGAGTTGAACCGTCTCGGATTTCTGCTCGTGTATTACTGATGAATCATGTCAGCACTGCCACTGCCCAGCATAACGCGGTACTGTAGGCTAGCCATACACTGATATTAAACGATCCTCGCGTAATTTGGCGCATAGCTTCCGGAGATCTTTCTGTTGCATGCCTAGGAGAAACGCGAGGTCTTCGGCATGGAGTCTACACAATATGTAACCACGGTCAGAACTGATGACGCGAATGGGATAGAACGCTTTATGAATCCAGGCATAGTGAAGCATACACCGAATGGATGAAAAGCGCATCAACCACCAAGATGTGGCGGGTCTCGTAGAAGGCGCGGACTACAGTCCGAATGAGCGTATTCGCAAGATCCATGGTGGTATCTAGGAGGTGTTCTGGTAGGAAAGGAAAGTGTGGCTTGACTTTGACTTTGGTTGCTGAGACGGTGTGGAGGCGATTTCAATCGCTGCTGAGCGCGCAAAGGTTCTTGATATCCCGAACTAAGGTCAGCGCAAAACGAATAGCATGGCTTTTCTTTTTCACTCCGGATGCCAAACGTTGAGCGTAGGTACCTAAATAGAGTTTATGAATAAAAGATCTAGCAGCCCGCAACGCGAAAGCTGGGAACACCAAAGTAAGTATAAAGCCCAAGCAACAATGAGGTTAAAAGGAAGTAAGGATGAGCCCCGGCACTACAAGCGGATGAACTGCCCGCGGCACCCATTGTTGCCTGAGGCCTACACACGAGCTACCCCAATTAGGCCTAGCGGGAAACACACACGCACTAATCCCACTGCGGCTAGAGCCTACGGAAATTCAATCGCAGGCCCAGGAAAAGGCACGAATCTCAAGTGTCGAACGACGCAAGTTTTTCCCCTCTGGACCCGCTTCTTCATGCGTAGCTACGTCTCTGCGCGTCAATATTTGACAGGCTTTCTTTGTCGATCCTTTTCGCCTGTCAACTCGCAGAGACATTTCACATCTCATACGCCGCTCTCTAATTTGCGGAGATCATTGGAACCATGGACAATAACGAAGGAAGAGTTAGCGGATCCGAAGAAGCTGATCGCAAGCGTAAGAAGGGGGATTTGGGAAGGGCAGAGTGGAGGTATGTCTCCCGGCTTCTGGGGTACAAATTCGACAGTCACCGGCTAACCAAGCAAGCCGGCAAACGCTAGATAAGAGAGGACGGTTAGATAAACAGAATGAGGCCAAACGACAGAAGATCGATAATGGAGAGGAAGTCAAAGCTCCAATCTATGCCACGCATTTCTCCCAGGAAGACATCGAGAATGAACAGAGGCGGCCGAAGAAGAAGGTGGCTGTACTTCTGGGATACTCTGGAACGGGCTACAAGGGAATGCAATTGTGCGGACAAGTGTTAGATTCCGTCTAACCTGGACGAATGCTAATCGTCTACAGGAGCGCAACTGAGAAGACTATCGAGGGCGATCTCTTCGCGGCCTTTGTAGCTGCCGGGGCTATCTCCAAGGCTAATGCAGCAGACCCGAAAAAGTCATCGCTGGTGCGATGTGCCCGTACAGATAAAGGAGTCCATGCGGCCGGTAATGTCGTATCCTTGAAGCTGATTGTTGAGGATGAGGATATTGTTCAGAAGATCAACGCACACCTTAGCCCGCAGATCCGCGTTTGGGGTATTCTGGTCGCGAGCAAGTCTTTCAGCAGCTACCAGATGTGCGACTCTCGTATCTACGAATATCTGATGCCGAGCTACTGCTTTTTACCGCCGCATCCCAGCACTTTCCTTGGCAAGAAGATCTTAGAGATCGCTGAAAAGGAAGGTGATGTGGAGGCACACAAGGCCCGGCAGGAAGAGGTCGCTAATTACTGGGAAGAGGCCGATGCGAAGTATATCCAACCCGTTCTCGACAGTCTGGATGAGGATATCCGCGAGGTTGTCAAGAACGCAATCTATCATGAGAAACCTGAAGATGAATCATTTGAAATCGAGAATGGCGAGGAACAAACTCAAGCCACAGAGGGAGGAGCCGATGCCACCGCAAAGCCCGAACTCACCGAAGCCGAGCAGGCTCACAGACGGAAGATCATCGACGCAGTCAAGGCTGTAAAGGCTGCATACAACACCGCAAAGCGATCTTACCGTATTGCTCCCGCGCGCGTTGCCCGTCTGCAAGAGGCGCTGGATAAGTACATTGGAACTAAGAACTTCTACAATTACACCATCCAGAAGTTGTACAAGGACCCCTCTGCAAAACGCCACATTAAATCCTTCAAAGTCGACCCTAACCCGATTATCATCAATGGCACCGAGTGGCTCAGTCTTAAGGTCCACGGTCAAAGTTTTATGATGCACCAGATCCGTAAAATGGTGGCCATGGCCACGCTGATGGTGCGCTGCGGCTGCGACCCCAAACGGATCGTTGATTCATATGGACCGACCAAGATCCCAATTCCCAAGGCACCCGGTCTAGGGCTTTTGCTAGAACGTCCCATCTTCAATGGCTATAGTAAAAAGGCCGAAGAACTTGGAAAGAAGCCCATTGACTTTCAGCAGTATGCCACGGAAATGAACGAGTTCAAGCAAAGAGAGATCTATGACCGAATCTTCCGCGAGGAAGAGGAGACTAATGCGTAAGTTCTCAGCTATATCCCACTCATGCATTTAAACTGTCCAACTAACATCAGGAAAAACAAGTTTCGCTTCATTTTTCAACCATATCGATCACTTCCCTCAAGAAGAATTCCTATATGTTACATCCGGTGGCATTCCAGCTGCAAAACCTACGACTCAACCTTCGGCTGCTACCGAAGACGCTCAGAAGGGCCGAAAGTCTCAGAGAGAAGCCCTAGCAGAGATCGAGGCAGAATCGGAAGATGAGGGCAATCTTCCCAACAATGGAGAAGAGGGCGGTTGAAATATCAGCTATATATGTACATAGTAATAAAAGACTTTGTCGTTTACCTACAGATGCATAATATCTCTCCCAGGTAGTATTAGTTTTTGTCTTTCATCAAGATGAAAAATGAATTTCAATCTACAGGGTTGTAAATATATAGTTCAGTTATATCTTCGTGGGATTGGTGACTACCTTGTATCGTACGAGTAGCTATTACGTCCAGCTTATGACATTCTTCGTTGACAGTAGCATCCACTGTAAGAATAAAACGAGTACTATAGCTAACTTTAGCTAGGCTCGAGCTCATTATGGGTGTAAAGCTCTGAAGTGAGGAATTTGGGCTATGAGAGTATTCCTTGAGTGGGGCTTTGGAAATTATATCTTCGTACGTATGTCCGCAGGATATTATATGTGACTATCATTCGCAAGCCATTCTACAATACAGTATTCCTCATGGATACGGTTATATTCGCCAAGCTTAAGGTAGACGACATATATCTTCATTTACAAAGTCGATCACGGAAAAAGAACAAACTCAATTATTGACGGAGGAAGAGAAAGGCGCTATGTATCATTAATGTACGACAGAATGCAACACAACGCTCGGTGCTGGTGAAAATCGGACTTTGCACAGAAGGAAACACAAAGGGAAGTTAAGTCACACATCAGTTGTACACCAACACCGCAGAGAAAAAGAAGTGGAAAGGAAGAAAGAAAACAAAAAGACAAAAGAAAAAGCAAACAAATCAAGGATGTACGATAGACGAATGAGAAGACAAGGCCAATATGACAAATTGGAACACAGAAGTAGAATCAAAGACGGGAAGAAGAAAAAGAAGAGGTTTAAAAGAAGAAGAAGGAAAAGAAATCAACCCAACCCAGCCTGTTGGTGTGTTTAGAAAATCAAGGAGCGGGCTTTCTGACGTCGAGTGTCCGCACTGCGAACTTCGGGTTGAGACTGGGTGTAGCGATGTTTAGCCCGTGGCGGTGCGGCTGCCGGCGCCGGTGCCGTGGATGTCGGTGGAGGCGCAATATCTTTATCTTTTTTGACGGGTGGGGGAGGAAGAGGCCCATCGAAGCGCCGATCTGTCGTTTCCCGTCTCGATTTGACGCTACGCTCGCGCTTGAGTACGAGCTCGGTCCACTGCTTAACTTGACTGCTTCCCGAAGAACCCTTGCCCACAGCGTCGGCCAATACTTTCATCCAGCCTTCCTTGTCGGCAGCACTATCCGCATAGAAGTCGATCACTTCGCCGTTGCCGAAGCGGATACGGAATCCTTCTTCCACAAACATGTAGCCCTCCTCCTCTTCGGCAAAGGCAGACTTGCGACGTCCACCACCCTTGGTCGTGGTCTCCTTCTGCATCAGGGACGATCTATCATCTATAAGCTTGACGGCCTTTGAGAGGTTAATTGTCGCACGAGGCTGCCGGGTTGTCTCATGGTACGCGGTCAGTTTGGAGCCTTGAAGCTTGAAGAAACGACGACGCCAGAACTGCCAAAGAGATGTCAGTGAGCCGATTCATGAGGAATGTGATCCAAGGGGAAGCTTACGGGGCAGTCGCCTCCCTGCTGAGACAAGAATCCTTCCCAGCTACGGGATGAAACACTCTCCGCTTCACGCATTTCTCGAATGCAAGCGTTCATGCTCTTCGGCATATCCTCATCCTTCCCACCTTTTGGTTTGGGGACAAACAACAGCTGCAGCTCTAGCTTGCCAATCTTGTAAGGAGGCCGCCGTTGGGAAGTAGCGCTGGAGGTACTCTTCTTGCTCTTAACACTGCTTGGCTGGTCTTCAACAGCCCATTCATTGAAGCAGGCCACATCAACCGTGTAAGGGCGGCCGAAAGCATGCTTTTCATGATCGCTCAGCGCTACATACGCACGAGCGAAACTACCGTCCCTAGCAATAAGAGTCCTGAGGCGTTCCCAGACACCTGCGTTGACATCTTTACTCTTCTGCTGTTGGGAAGCCAGTTGGTGCTTCATATCCAATTCCTTTCGCTTGCGAGGGGAAGCAAACACCCTGCTGAAAGTAGACGTCTTCTGCCGCGCGGGGGATGCTGTTGGAGGCGGCTCTTGGACTCTGAATTTTTCATCATCAACCTTCATCTGCAAAGTCAGCTGGAACTCTAGGTCATTTTGTACAATGAGTTCGAATTCCTGCCCGACTGGGGCTGTCTTGCCGAGTTCCAACCAGGCGGTAGTAACACAGTGAAGACCGTTGTCAAGGGTTAGAGAGAAGTATGATCTCTCGCCTACATTAGATTTAGATGATGTCGCTCATGCGTCTGGTGGCATCGGGTACTTACCTCGTGGCAGCGGCAAATCTAGGTACTTCATCCCAACGACCTTGACGAATAGACGACCTCGCTCTTCTCCTTCGTCCAAGGCCCCATTCAAAGCAGGTTCGTTTTCTTCGATTGTCGCAGGGTTTTCTTGAACATTGCTCTGTTGGCCTGGAAGAGGGGGCACAGGTCCAGGAACAGGCTTCTTGCGGATTCCGCTAGCCTGCCTAATGCTTGCACGGCGAGTTTGTCCGTTCCAAGGCACGGTGGTCCAAGTTTGCTGGCTTGCTTTCCGGGGTGTGGGTA